AAAACAGGTCAAGGGAGGCGATTCTGAACCAGCTGAAGTAGTTGGAGGGCTTTCTGTCGTGATCTAAGAGGGCGACCGCACCAGTCAACCCGAGTAAGTCATTGACCCAGGTGAGGTTGGTCCCCACCTCACGTTCAAAATTCTTCTCTCACCAGTTGGGCACCTACCCTTGTTTTGTGAACAAGGTTCCCAAGAGAGGTCTTAGGTCCCAGATCTTCCGAACCCGAGACACATGTCACCCAATCACCTAGATCCGGAGAGGTGAGATTGAGGCATCCTAACCACAGAGTCCCATACCTCATTATGTGCAGAAATCGAGAAAGTCAAAGATTGGCGGTTGCCTATACTGGATTAACTTGAACACAATCATATCCCCGACAATCCTATTGAGCACAACAAGATCCGAAGGTCAGCCACCAGATATGTGTGTTGTGACGCCATCATGTTCTGATGTGCCTTTAATGACATGCTACTCAGGTGCATCGACCAAAGAGAAGCAAATCATGTGCTTGACAAGATTCGTGTTGGAATCTGCGAACTGCACCAATCTAGTCCCAAGCTCTATGATCGGATCTTAAAGTTAAGCTACTAAAGGCTAACCATGATCACGAATTCTCTTGTCTACACTAAAAGGTGTACAATTTGTCAGATATACCCAAGCTTCATCCACTAGCTCCTAAACCTCTTCACCCAATAGTGGTATCATGGCCCTTTTCACAGTGAGACATGGATATTGTGGGACCCATAGACCCACCCACTGTCTGCCTCAAGTCATGTATTTATTCTCATTGCCACTGATTACTTCTCCAAGTGGGTCGAAGCCATCCCTCTTAAATAAGTCCTTGGTGTTACAGGGTATTTTTGACACACTTGTATCCCTGGTGCAAATAAGGAATAAGCTAGTCGCAATTTGGTCCCGCAGGTTCCAAAAAATGCCTATAGACTACGAAAGCACTGATAGAATAAGCTTAATTTTGGGTGAATTTAAAAAGGTGTCTGACTGGCCTCAAAAAGCATGTGAGGGTAGAATTTTATCCCCTAAGGACACACCTTAAGTTTTATCTCAAACAGACAAGGTTAAGGCATATCAGGATGAAATTTATTTTGCAAAGCCAGTTCCTTTCAGTTGAAAAAACACCTTCTAACTAGGGCCCCATTACCGAGGCTTCTGATGAGCATCAAACCACTCCCATTGGATTTAAAACACCCCAAAACCCCTAAAATATCAATTTTTTGCTCATTTGCACATTTTTAGATCATTCTGGGCCTAACTTACCAAATATGGGTGGGTTTTATACTATTTTTGTGCAACCTCGGTAAACCAGTTTCCATAAATGTAAACTGTACTATTTGATTTCGGGATTACCTTGTGAGTCATAAATCTCTCTTTTAAAGCAAATTAAACTCAAATTTTGGTATGTTGAAGAGCTCATCGAGACACACATTTTGGTATATGGCACGACCCGTGACAATGCCTAAAACGAGAGAATTTTATAGAGAAGTTGGATTCAAAAACTCATGTGTTGCATAATTTTTAAAGTGGAACATAATCCTAATGACCATAGAATTCTAATCTTTAACCTTCAAAACCTAGAAGTCTTAGAAGTTCAAGAAACTTTGAATCCCCATTCCAAAAAATCTAGTAGCCATTGGAGACTCTTATGATGTTTTTCAAAACATAATCTTTTAGATTTTTAGAGAGATAATCCCTAGGCTAAAAAAACTCTAGAAACATTAGAATTAAGGTCTTTCTTAAACTTTGGCTATCAACCCTGAAAATCTTAAGCCGTTAGACTTTAATTCTCTACAATTACATGAAACCCTAAATCTCGATAGCTTTAGAAAGAACATGCCGTAAGCAGCCAAATCTTAGGAAGAATATTTCCTAGCTAAAATTCATCTTTCAAGCTCAAGATACTTCTTAGGTTCACGTAGATCTCTCAAAGGTCAAGGATGAAGACATTTCAATTGTTAGTCTAACATAGGTCACGAACTCTGGGTGCTAAGCATGAGGACTGGCTTCCAAGTACGTACTTTTTTATTTTACTCCTTTTAATCTTCTAGTTTATTTTTCTTTTAGAATTCTTCTTCATGTTTTCCTTTAGTTTTTCTTGTTTTTTTTATGGATCTTACAGGATATCAAATTTACCCTTATTGATGGCACATGAGGAGAAATGTTGTCCCTGCATATCTACTTTTTCAATATTGTAATTCGATATACTACTCTTTTTCTACCGAGTTTTAATTATTTAGTTTAAGCACAAACCATAGAGACCAGCTCAGATTTGGCTGTAAATAGTTTGAACAATAAATGGTAGAGAATGCCAACTAGGAAACTCAACTTTTATTAAAAAACTTAATAAAGGCAATTTGGGTATTCTTTGTTTTTAAAAAAGGTACTTAAATTAAATGAAATTTATAAAGTAACCATTCTAATTTAAATTGAATAATATGACCAGTTTAAACTTGGCTTGACCATTTAAGTGATAGAATTTTTTAAGGGTTATATTACGGAAGGGTACTTGTACTTGTAAGCATTTAATAAATATGCTCAGCATTTTTGGACACTTGATGCTCTTACTTCATCATTTAGTAACCTTCTTGCCTAAGGGTATTTTAGGTAACTATTCAAAGATAAAGTAGAAATTCATGCTATAAAAAAGAGTGTTTATTAATTATAGTATAGAGTGACATAATCATATGATGTATAATATCACTCATATTGAGTATTAAATGGCGCTAGTTTCTTATTGAAATATATATTTTACCTCTCTTAATCACCAAAAATACCTTTATTAAAAAAAATATTATATTACTAAACAATAATATATAAGTATCCAAAATTTGTTGATTACAATTATAAAATGCTCTTTAATGTGAGCACCTTAACTTAACACATTTTAAATAATTAAATCTATACATATCAATTACAAATTGATGAGAAATTAGGTTTAAGAGGTACGAGAGCTAGAAATAGTCTCCCTGCGTAGTTACGCCGTAAGAATGCGATGGACCAAGTTTTCAATTCAAAGAAGGCGAGTAGAATTAACAAAGGAAATAGCCAACGCACTCTTTAATACGACCGAGGGGAAGTCAACTGTGGTTATATAATTCAACAATACATTCTAATACTCCTTTTTAATTGAACATATGTATATATTTAGGCCGGCAAAGGGGGTTTGAAGGGGTAGTAGAATAGTTATTAACAAAAATAACTGGCACAAAACTCCTAGCCATAGAAGAAGCTCCAATAAGAAACCCCTTCTTATTATTAACGCGCATAATATGTTGCCTCGGGAGCACATTGTATATTTACACCCATAGGCAAAAAACGTGAGAGATTTTCTTTTTTAAATTTGTAAGTAGATGATTACACCCTTAGGCACATTATGTATTTATACCCATCTAATTATAAGTATATGGTTACTTTCAAAGAAAAATCTGAATTTTAAGTAATTGAACATCTAGATCATTACATCAAAATTGGATAGTTTGAGTACAATCTTTGTATGTTTTTTTTTTTTTAATTTTTCCCATTTTTTTTTCCTTAGAGATTGGTTGTCCGGTTTAAGAGATTACATCTTCAAATTTTAGGATGTATAATATACTCTTAGTGTAAGTTTTACATGGGGCAGTATATAGATATGTACTCCCATGGGAGTAGAATTTTTTTTTTTTTTTGAGGAGAATGGTTGAGATCGCAAATGGCAATATCCAATGGCCGAAAATTAATTTCACATTTTATTTTTATTTAAATAAAATATTTATCTGAATTTTGGAGTATATATATATATATATATAGAGAGAGAGAGAGAGAGAGAGAGAGAG